GTATTTTTGCAGTCGACCTGTATTACTCAGATGAATTGGGATAACTGTACTGGTCGTCCTACACCCATAGGCTATTTTTTCGCATGGCCACTGCGACGGTAACACCTCGGTCAACAATTTCCACTTGCCAGCTAAACTATGTGAGGATAGTCGAAAGGGTTTTCCGACTGACTAGTGACAGTGAAAGCCTCTGTCCACAACCCACTTGTGCCAAGCGACCATCGGTCAATCACTGCCTCGGCGTAGGAGTTGCGCGTCATATGTCAACGGCTTTGCCAGTAGGCGAAAGAACTTTTAAAAGAAGGGACGGGATAACCTCAACATCACCGGTGCAAAAGGAACCGGCAAGCAATTGCACTATTTGCCTTTAATGTCACTGTGAACCAAAATTACAACAGAAATAGGGGGAGTGGCGACAGCAGCGGCGCAAAATGCTCTAACTGAATAAGTGAATGAATAATTCATAATGTGTACTGGATTACTCATTCGAGAGACTTTACTAAATTTCAGACATATGTCAGTCTTTGTAGGGGAGACCACCGTCAAATCCGGCTTGGTTTGAACCATTCGACCAAAAAAGAGGATAGTCGAGAATAAAGGGTTTTTTTTGAAAGCCCATATCTGTTTCAAAGTACATATCTGCTGACATGTTTTTTTTCTTTTTAAATTTTCGTATCGGAAACGCAAGGAAGTAATTTCTAAGGAATTAATGGAATTTATATTTAACTTGATATTATTTGTTATTACTCTCGAATGCGCTGTCCACAAAAAAAGCCCACTTAACGCTTATAATAATAATAATACCATCGGTCAATCATATATTTGTGTGTGGGCGTGTGTGCACTGGCGAATGAGAGAGAGAGATAGAATTCGTAACAAGCGGAAGAGAGTTAAAATTGAAAAACAATTGAATTTAAAGAAAACACTAGATAACGAGCGACATTGCATTTAAATTTTTGAAGATCAAACTTTTAGCATGTTTGGAGGAATCAAGAGTGCAGAAGAGACACTTGGAATGTTGGTCAGGAAGCAAACCGAAAAGAAAACGGAGTTCCAGAAGATTACATCTTGATACGAGAAAGAGAGAGAGAGAGAGAGAGAGAGAGAGAGAGAGAGAGAGAGAGATTACTCTTAACATAGAACTTAAATTAGATCTGTCGTTGACATTGGTCAAACTGCCATTTGAAGGTGAACTTTAAAAGATGATATACAGGAATAGTGCATTTCTTACCGCCAATCTAGTACTGATTTCAAATTCATAAAATCTTTTTAAATAAGGATGATAATATACCATCAGCTCTCCAAAGATTTTTATTCCAAGAATAGTCGAAAAGGTCATTCATCATAATTTAATCATGTACCTACAATCGATATATATTTGTGTGTGTGTGTGTGGAGAGAGAGAATAAAACTTAAGCGACGAAACAGCAATGTTAATTCAGAAGAAATAAAATTGAATTCCTCAATTCACTCCATGGAACTTCAAAACCTAACTTTACCTCTGATTCGGGCTATAAGTCCAATTCAGACGCCTGTCAAAAAGGTACATTAATCATATACCTACAATCTTAACAAAAAATAAACAGCATGTTAATTCAGAAGAAATAAAATTGCCTCACACACACAAAATTCGGGCTATATATATATATATATATATATATATATATATATATATATATATATATATATATATATATATGTGTGTGTGTGTGTGTATTGGGTTGGTGCATAATTATCAGGCGTTTTTAAATTATATTTCTTATGAAAAAAGAAACATATAACAATTCAACAATAACATTTTTAAATGATTATTCCGGATCGTATGATTATCGACATGCATTCTTATAACCTGAAAATAAAATAAGATTTTTATTAAAAAAGTAAACAAAACAATAATTTTTATTAACAAATAACTCATCAAAAACGCCTGATAATTGTGCACCAACCCAGGTATATATATATATATATATATATATATATATATATATATATATATATATATATATATATATATATATGTGTGTGTGTGTGTGTGTGTGTGTGTGTGTGTGTTTCGTATACGCGTATACTAACTCTGTAGACTAAAGGAGGAAGTCAATGCCATAATTCTTGAGCTATAACTCACATCATTGTATAAATTGCTGTTAATTTTAGACACCATATTTCCCTGTGGGGTACAATATCAAGGCCTTACTACAGTAGATATGCTTGCTGTGGTTTCCGCAGCAATTATATTTTGCAGAATGGGGTTGCTGGCTCCAGACCCGACCTATTTTGGATTCAGAGTTGTTTTTCTCTTAGACGGGTTGCCAAACAGAAATATATCAGTAGTTCGTAAAGTTTCGTTACTTTTTTGGCCGATAAGAAAGTGACAATTTTTGTTTCACTTTTTTGTCTCCTGTATAACTTAGCGACTAGTTTTCTACCTTAAGATAGATAAGCTTAACGACAGTTTCTATTTAACTTATATTCCTCGTGTATATAATTGATGTATGACCATTTATATAAGGCAAGCGTCAATATGAAATATACGATCAAAAATGGATTTTAGCTATTGTAGGCTGTTGGAACCATATTTGAGAATGGATAACGGAGAATAAGACGTTTCACCACAGTATATTTCTGTGCAAGAAACCCTTTCAGGTTATGGAAGCACAAAACTGTAACTTCTTTATTTTGGGCGGTAATTTATATAAAACGTTAAGATTTTGAAAAATTAGATCTAATTTTTTTACGGGATATCTTTACTAGTATTTTATTAGATAAATTGAGAGATCCATTTTGGAGATAAATTCAAGCATAGATTTTAATCGATGCTATAAAAAAAAATGATTATTCCGATTTGTAATTTATAGTTTATTCATTAATTCAATGCAGATTCAGCCATTTTTATTTTATTTGTGAAATGAATAAGGAATAATTCCTGCAGGTAAAGACTTTATACGAATAGAAAATTAATTGAGCAGCTTCACAAAAATAGAAAGGTGCTATTATAAGGGAACTGGTGACCCTTTCCAGGGTTTGTAAACGGTAAGTGTATTCTTGACAATATAAGATGCGTAGATTACACTGTGTTTATGGCCGAATCGGAAGAAAACTACAGAAAGGTGAGAAGACACCGCGAAAAAAGGACTTACCATCGACTGCAAGCAGACAGGAATTACAGTCTCGAGCAAGAGAAAAAGCCCAAAACGCGAGTTGTAAATTGCAGATGTCAACATCAAGCAGATGCAGAAGTTTAAATATCTGGTAAGTGGACCCAGTGGACAGAATAAAGAGTTCGATTCGAAATTCCAACATATATCACCTGAAGAAGGTCGGAGCGCACAACGGCTGAAACGTCATAAATATGACAATAAAGATATAAATAGTGAAAATAATTCTATTTTTTGGGAAGCATTGTTGAATATATACTCGTAAAATAACTTTTTCTTTTCTTTTTAACACTGGGTTGAGGATTTATTGGTGTTTTTGTTCATATCAATCAAGTAAGTGGATATATACGAATACTCTATAGTCACGTGGCCGAGTGGTTAGAATGTTCGCTTCATGACTATGAGACCCGGTTTCGAATCTGACCATGGTCGATTTGTCATTTGTTATTGGTTATTGACCTGGAAAAGACGATCCCAGCGTGCGACACCTTTGGGAAAACAACGCTGGGTAGACGGAACCCTTGGAGGCCGTTGATGGCTGTGTGAGCATGAAGTCACAAATCATCGTTATCGAGAGTTTGAGCGTGCTGGCCTTGTTCCGATTGCTGATCACGCTAGATAACACGCTTCTCTCCCAGAAACTGCAACTAAGATCTGCTCAGCAACTTTCTATCTATGTGCCGTGTCCTTTCAGGACGTAGGCGATCGTGGTTCTCCACGTCGCTCTATCTCTTGCAGCTTTCAACAAGTTCCTTCCCTCTGCCACCTCCCCTAGACCACGTTCTGTCATCCACTTGCTTAAGGCTGCTAGGTATGTCATGAGTTGTTTTCCCTTGCCTCTCTTTCTCGCTATTCGACTCGTGCGTATCAGATTCTCCAGGCCCTCCCCCCTCATTATCCGTCTCAGGTACTTCAGCAGCCACTTCCTGATGTTAAGTATAAGCCTCCTCCTTGTTTGTATCCTCTCTATGACCTCATCGTTGCTCACACGTTCGGTTCATGATATCCTCAGCATCCTTCTGTAGAATCACGTCTCCGTGGCTTGGAGTCTCTTCTTCGTTTTTTTCGTCCAACATTCGCTACCGTAAAGAAGGACAGATGCCACGTAACAGGTCAATATTTTTTTTATTCGTTACCAAAGAAATCCTTCTGTCTCGCAATAATCTGCCCAGCTTTTGGAATCCCAATACGTCTACAGGTCTCAGTGTCGCACATACCATCCTCTGTCAAAACGCTTCCCAGATATTTAAACTTCCGAGCCTGCTTGATTTTAGTGTTCCCGACCTGAAAATCTTATTTCAGGCAGAGTTGCAGTATAAACAGTATTGCACAAACGTGCGCCTGAGCAAACGTCTGCAATAGGGATTAGCTAGCCGCAATGGTAGACAGGTATCCTCGAATACGAATGGGCAGCCATTAACGTTACTATGGTAGAAGCATACGTCATATGGAAGATGAAAATGACTATGGCTTAAAAATTTGGAATAAAAATTGAAAACTGCTGACAGTATAACAAAGAAGAAGGTTAATGAAAATAGGTTTGAGAAAATAGCTAAATTGACGGTATTATTCATTTGTTTTTTACGGATTATCAACCTATTGTGAGCTATTTAAGTTGAAGCATATTCTGGATTTTAAGAATAATTCTTTCTTTTGTGCGATATTGCATTAACAATATTTTGAGAATAACAATAATTTTTTTTTCAGATACAAATATTTAACACATGACTGGATGTAGAAAATGGATTCGCGCCTTTCCCAAAGGTATTTGCGCGTAATGGAATGCAACAACCTTACTGGAAATCGAACTCGGCTGTCCGATTTCCCATTTCGAGCTGCTAAGCATTACAGTAAAGAGATAGAAAGAAAGAAAGCAAGAAAAAAAAAGAAAGAAGAAAAAAGTGATGAGAGAACATCAAAAAAAAAGAAAATAAACATTGACAAAGTATAAAAGAAAGAAAGAAAGAAAGAAAGAAAGACAGAAAGGAAGAAAGAAAGGTTAGGCAAAAAGTGTAAAGAAAAAAGAAAGAAAGAAAGAAACAAACAAAAACGGTAATTGAGACGAAAAGAGAAAAAATGAGAGTTAAGAAAGAAAGAATGATAAAGAATATGAAAAAAGAAAGAAAACGTGTTGAGAGAAAATGAAAACGAAAGAAAATAAACGACAATGGTATATATGAAAGAAAGAAACGAAAAAGTTAATGGAGACAAAAAGAGAAAAATGGGAGTTAAGAAAGAAAGAAAGAAAAAAGAAAGAAAGAAAAAAGAAAGAAAGAAATCGTGTTGATAGACAATCAAAAAGAAAGAAAGTAAACAACGACAAATTAGAAAAGAAACAAAGAAAGAAACGAAAACGGTCATGGAGACAAAAACAGAAAATAATGGGAGTTAAGAAAGAAAGAAAGAAAAAAGAAAGAAAGAAAGAAAGAAAACGTGTTGAGAGAAAATCAAAAAGAAAGAAAATAAACAGCGACAAAATATAAAAGAAAGAAAGAAACAAAAAAACGCTAATGGAGACGAAAAGACAAAAAAAATGGAGGTTAGCAAGAAAGAAAAAAAGAAAGAAAGAAAGAAAGAAAGAAATCATATTGAGAAAATATATAAAAAAAAGAAGAAAACGACAATTTATAAAACAAAGAAAGAAGCAACCAAAAAATGGAGACGAAATGGAAAAAAAAAACGGGAGTTAAGAAAGAAAGAAAGAAAGAAAGAAAGAAAGAAAGAAAGAACAATAGTGGAGACAAAATGAACAAGAGAGAAAAAAAAGAGAGTTGAGAATGAAGAAGTTGAAACAATCAAAAATAAAGAAAGAAAGTAAACGACGACAGAATATAGAAGAGAGATGAAAAAAGAAACCTGAAAAAGCAGAAAAATAAAAGAAATCGTTATTGGATATCAGCCAGGTCACGAAACAAGATACAAAGACAAACAGAGACGAACATATCTTACTTAACTGGTTCAGATAAGGCTTACAAATAAAATTTGTTTTCGGCGAACTATCCTGAACAAGGCACACAAGACTGATCAACAATCAAACACCATCACAAATGGAAGCTTTACTTACGTATAGGGAAGGAATAATAACTCTATCAAGATTTCACAATCTCTTTTTTACAATCAAATAATACCCACCAAAACAGAGCAGACGTTTAATATTCCAATCAACTGCAATTGATTTGTATTGGTTTTCATCATCTCACTTGATACGTGTTGTTGGTGAAGCATATTCCAAACTCAATAATGTCTTGTTTTTATCTTTGAGCTGGAGCAAAATATGTAATTTCATTTCTGTTCCGAGTAACAGATAACTCGCGAGATGTTATTCATATGCCATTCTCTCAGAAAAGACAAAAGAAAACTATCATAAGATTCGTGACAAAAAAAAAAAAAAATCAGTTTTACGGTTCTTTATAGAAGATCAAACTTTGTAATCGTTTTCATTACAAATAAAGCTTTTCGTTATCTTCATATACCAGTAAAATACAGCGAATAAATTACCCACTATTGTTATTTATCGAAATTCCCATGAAATGAGAATACGAAAAAAAAAAAAGACATATCTCAAGCTCAAACTGCCTATTCCTAAAGAAAAAGGAAACATTATTTAGTAAGTGTATCACTCCAAATTGCAGCGTTATATTAGTGACGCCAGGTGCATTGTCCGGTTGGCCTAACACATAACTTCCTGGCCACCAAGTGCAAATACGGTATGGGTAGAAAAAGAAATGTTTGATAAGCACACACACACGCATATATGCATATATATATATATATATATATATATATATATATATATATATATATATATATATATAATAAAAAGGCTTAAACACTAATATTCCATGGTCATAATTTTTCCATTGGAATCGTAAATACGATCAATTCATCAGACCTACAAATTCAAAAAAAAAAACAGAAAAAAACAACTCCGGAAATAAAAATAGAAGTGTAGGTTTGATGAATTGGATCGTATTTACGATTTCAATGGAATAAATTATGACATTGGAATATTAGTGTTTAAGCTTTTTTATTATATCCTTACTCTGTCCCGGACATTGAGTTCTACCTGGATTCTACCCTCTTGGAATTTTTATTAAAAAAATATACATGTATGTGTATGCACCTATGTATATATATTTATATATTTTGCATATGTATGTGTATATTTACCAATAATATATATATATATATATATATATATATATATATATATATATATATATATATATATATATATATATTATACAATAAAACATATTAAAAAATAAAATCTTCAGACACACTGGGTTGCAGATTAATATTCTTTCGTTTTTTTTATTATTATTTCATTTAGATTCCTCGACTAGTTTCGGCCACAATGGCCATCATCTGGAGAAGAAATATTTCTGCTTGCTGGTACCACTAAACTACAGAATATATATATATATATATATATATATATATATATATATATATATATATATATATATAAGGTATGTCTGATTGAATAAATTACAAACATTATGCTTATTTTTATCATAATCCTTTCATATTCACGAATATTTTTTCCGTATATTACAATTGAATGAGGAAAAATATTCGTTAATATGAAAGGATTATGATAAAAATAAGCAGACATAATGCCTCAAAGAGAATTTGCTGCCTAAATACATATATATATATATATATATATATATATATATATATATATACTGACCTCGGAAGGAAGGACAAAAGACATTGTGTACGATAATATAAGGCTCATATTTGGTTAAGGGTCTGATACCCCCACACATACACCCACACTGGACAATATCAATTGGCTACTGTTTGAGTCATTTGTTTTATACGGCTTTGCGGGTTATCTAATGTCGAAACACTTTGTGAGTGAACATTGCATTAGCAATTTTTTTTAGAGAAACAATGGTTGTTTCAGTTACAGGTCCTACTATTTAACATATAGATGGGAGAAGATGTGGATTCATACCTTTCCCAAGGGTGTTTGCGTGTAAGTGAATGTATCGAACTATACTGGAATTGGACGTCGGCTATCCAATTTCTCATTCGAATATGCTATCTATTACACTAACGGCACATCACAGTAATTGACAAAATCCAGAAGTGAATCAAATGCAATGCCACGAGAGATATGAAAGATATATTGTTTCTTATTCTCATTAAAATATCCGACGACGTTTCATTACAATTGTATTTGGATGTGTAGAGATATCAAAACCAGAGAGGGGAGATCAAAAGCGAAAAGAAAATCCACAAATATTTAATTTTCCTTTGTAAATACATAGCTCCTTCAATTAAAGTGGGTCTTATGGCCATATAACATGGAAACATCGGTTCCCATACAATGAAAAAAATTAGATGACGTCCATCCCTGTCAATATGTAGATGAATGATCACTTGGGAATACCATGTTCTTGGATGTGCGCTTGGCATTATGGGTAACGGCTCGGAATTGGAAATCGGAGAGCCGTGTTCTAATTCCAATCGGGTTAGTTATATTGACCTAGGCACAAATATTCTTGGGAAAGGTATGAATTTACTTTCCTCCTGTCCAGCTATCGTTTAATTAATAGAAATTGTGTCAATAAAAAAAAAGAATTATTATCCCCCCACCACCACATTCTTGCAATCTGAAAATATTTTCTGGCTTTAAATAACCTGCAAAGGATTGGTAATCCGTAAAAAAAACAAAAAACTAATCAATAAACCAATTAAACTAAGCCCAGCTTATATCAAACATTTAGTCTGCAAAATATTTAGTCTGTTTTTATTTTTGTAATAAACCGTGAAATTCTTTCACTGTTACCATATTTGTATGCGATTTATCTTCTGATTCTTGTTTTATGAGCCAAGACATTTCAGTACATAAGCAATCATAGCTCCTCACAACTCCGTGTTTTTGTTGCACTAAAGTAGTTTTGACACCTCCCCCATTCCTTGCTCAGCCACCCATTCACTCAAACACGTTAACTAGATTATTCACTGTTTCCTCCTTTGCTTACTTTCAATATCTCCCATGAGTGTTAAATCCTCTAGGCGTTCTTTTCTCATTATGCGTTACAGAATTTTCAACCCTCTTTTTTCTTAATGTTAACATAAATTTCCTTATTGTCTTTATTTCCTTTAAAATGTCCATCTTGTTATATCCAAGGTATTATCGGATGATATCCGTCTCTTCATTTTATAGCAGATTGGATATTATATCCGGTTAATATCTTTTTATCACTGTAGTAACAAAAAAGCTCTCACTTGAATCGTAACATCCGTTGTCCACTATGTTTCACATGCCAAGTCTAGCACTACTGACGACGGTCAACTATCAGTCATTTATATACGGTAGACCTCAGTCCTTTACCGCAATTTGAACTCCATAATATAAGCCGATTCTCAACTCGTTTACTTCTACTACATTGACCACGAAACCGTACTGGCCTTTCACACACTGTGTCTGTAATCCATAATAGTTTATCATTGAAAAAGTTTTGTTTCCTACTGATATTTAATGCTGCTCGCAATAGTCGAGTATTCCGTGTATCTATTTTTTGATAATGCCTAACTGCTTGACCTGTCCCAGAGAGGTGTTTCTCCGAGGGGTTGTATTGTTAACTTCCAAATGGTATTCATTTTGGATAGTGATGTTCATGTTTATTTCTACTGTTGTGCATTTTCCGTTAACGTGACTTGGACTATTGGTCCAAAAATTAGAGAAATGTCTTAGCAGATTTCATAATTTTTTTTTTTTTTACCGTAGATCGAATAATAGAAATTTACAAATACTACGATATTCAAAATAAAATATATTTCGACAAGAAACACATTCATTTTCGCCTAGGAATTTTTACTCAAAATTAATTGAACTTGAGGAAAAAAAAAATTTATAACTGAAGATGGTGCATGCATTCACCGAAAGTGCTTGCTAACTATATAGACCGAACATCTAATTCACATACAATTAATAAAAACAAGGATCATGCCGTTCAGCAATTGGTCAGTGAGTTAATGCCTTATTTAATCTGTTAGCGGAGTGAATTCGCCATTATTTATATTAACTTTATTGATTTATTCTTTGAATGACTATTTTACGATATTAATTAAGCCGCATTATTTCTTTTATATATATATATATATATATATATATATATATATATATATATATATATATATATATATATATATATATATATATATATATATATATATAGATGTATGTATGTATGCATATATATATATATATATAAATAAATGAACATTGAAGTCAACACTCAGAAGCAACAGGCTGTTTCATATTAGACGCAATCGTCAGGCGAACACTCGCGGCCTGACGCTTGCGTGTAACATGAAACACCACGTCGCCTCTGAGTATTGTCTTCAATGTTCACTTTTATATTTATATTTACATTCGTTCTATCTCTTATATCGAACACTTTATCCCATAAGTATAGAAAACAAAACTATATTTCTTCATATATATATATATATATATATATATATATATATATATATATAATGTCTGCAAATTAGTTTCGTAATCGTCGTATATTCACTGTTCACTGAATGCTCTACATTTGTAGTTTACAGATATACTTATAAAAGCTTATGTCGAATAATAAAACATGCCCTGAAAACTGAACTCTCCGTGCATGCAGCACATCTCGACCACGCTGGAAGAAATTGAATGCATCGGAGAATTCCTTTTTTTTTTTTTTTTATCGAACTGCTGCTAGCTAAAATGATTTCTCCTTCCCAATGGCTGTTCTCAGGTGATAGCTTCCGCTTTTGGTTTTATTTCAAAACGTTCATTTATTTTTCTTTCTTTTTCCCCCCCATCTTGTATTTTTTCTTTTTAATTTTTTTTTTCT